GCAATGAGAGGTCTACTGGTTTTGAGATACCAATATTCCTAAAAGATTATTCGATTTAAATTGAAATCACGTGCGTGCGTCCCATTTGCGTGCTGCATGCACGTGTTGTAGCGTCCGAGCTGGGTAGGCCGAAAAAATTCCTGCTGACGGTATGAGGTTCTGGTTCTGCAGGCTGGGCTGGGCTGGGCTTCTCTGAAGATATTCTTTAAAAGGGAATCCATCTTGTCAAATGGTGAAGTGGGTTTCCTTGGAACCTGGTTCGTAATCGATCGCTGATGAGGCATTTGTATGGATAACGTTTTTTAGTAATACAAGAATATCGGTGAACACACAGGATATAAAATATATAGGCGCGGAAAGGTAGACTTGTCAACAGAAGAATTGGATTGTGGAGCGTCACAGAAGCAAACCCATGAGCATCCTGAAATACGAAAAACTAAACTTCACAACGATTAAAACAAAACGGGTCGAGTTCGGCTTGTTACAGTGTAACGCTCGGGTTCTTTGGTGGCATAGCTTACATCCGATTAGGGTCGGCACTCACGTGACCGTCTGCGTCTGCTGTCTTCATTTTATATCCACACGCACTATAAATCCACTGGAGGCTTTGCTAATTATAGCAGGCATCCAACGGGGTGAGAAGCCAATGGAAATGCCAATACACAAGTGTTTATTATGAATAGACGAGGAATATCCATGTCCGGTTATAGCGACAGTTAGACCGTAGATTTTGATGATTTCCACCACGTGTTTCAGCAGGCTGAAGCAATGTGATGACTCCCGTGGGATTATAGTGAAAGTGGGCATGTGGAGAATCTATCCCACTCTCTCACCACTCCCACACCCGACCCGATGTCAAGACAAAAGTCGAGAAGACCGGATATGGGGGAGGGCGCAGGCGGTGTGTGCGAAACACACTCCAACACGCGCCACAACAACACCACCTTGCTGGGTAGGCTCCGGCCTGGGAGCGCCATAAAGACCACATAACGAAGGAGCCATTGAGTCTGACTCTCAACCTACAGTATGCCACCCCACTCAATAAGACACACTGAACCGACTGCGGTGCCGAAGTCATCCCTCCATTTGGCATCCCTCCAAGCCAACCCACTGAGCTGGGCCCTACACACGTTCTTGATATTGTCTGGCCGTGGGCCACGGCCACAGGGCTTCCGTGGAACTTGATTGGTCAGCGTCTATGGGCGCTAGGTCGAAGATCATAGCTCTTTCTTTCTTTCTGAAACAGGTTGTATGGAATTCTAGTCAAGCTGAACAAGAAGCTGCAAACAGTTTGTCAGTGAGAATGACTTCGGGTAGAAGAAAGTGTTGTCGTGACCAATCCTGTCTGTTTTCCTCTGCTTTATTGGTAACATTCGAGCGCGCACATGGTTCTCGTCATTACTAATTATCAGGCCGGCTTATAACACTAAGTCTGGAAATGGACTTCGGCACAGGGAGCAACAAAACTGGACGGTCCGTCGACACGTACCGAGCATACCCGACTTTTGCCTCCGTACCAACCAGGCTGCAAAGAATAGGGAAACACTGAGCCCCATAATAGCTGGAGGGCTACAAAGGTCACATTAAGAAGAAGGTATTGCAGTTTGACTCCGATTCCAAATGAATAAGCGTTAGGCAGCATACTTCCCATTCCTGATTGTTACCACGTCAAAATAAATCGGAGCGCCTTTTTCTGCCTGTCGTATGGCAATTAAGTGCTTGAGCCGAACTACGTAGAGCTAAATCTCTGTCATCGCATTTCACGAACCAGGTACAGTGGTTGCTGTGCTATGCAGTTGTCAAATAAAAAGAATGCCGCATGACTTTGGACTCCAGGGAAGTGAGGGCCGGCAAGTAGTTGAAGTCAGACCAAATATGAAATATGAAATGAAGAGTCCTGCCGATTGAAAACCTCGCAGACCACGGCTTTTGGTTTGGTAGGACAACAGAATAGGAATAGTCCCGTCACCCGAGCAATACAGGTTGTCCTGTGCTCAACTCAGCTTAACTCTAATCCTAAACATAACTTAACAAGAGCTCTATTTTTACCCCACCCCAACGGTAACCCTCACCTTAATAATAACACTAATCTACCTGAAAATTAGCGTAAGGCTTCCGGAATAGGGAACAGAGGGAGGCGTAATCACGTCTTGCCCATAGTTTAGCGTGCGCCAGGTGTACTATAATGAAGGCTTCGCTAAATTGACATCAGGAAGGTTGTTGTAAAGTTAGCAGAAATCTGCCTCAACTTTGCAAAATGCCAATGG